TGTTACTGCCACCGTCAGTGTGCCTGGCATGTGCCCGCGCGTGGGCGGCTTGTCTGGTCGTGCCTTGGCCAGCGCGTGCCAGCGCGTGGGTGGTAGGAAATTTTTTCTAAAAATATGGGGATGTTCGTGAGGTTGTGTAGATCAAGTTAGTATATTCAAACATCCCATTTGAGCAATGTATGAGAAGTTATTAGCTAGTATTGGTTATGTGCTTTAAATTAACGTTTTTATAATTGTTTCACATATAGGGGAGACTTATCCTGATGACGAGCGCAGTCAAGAGCGACTCGGGGGCTATGACCCTTCTACATACCAGTGAGTGGGCTTTTGGTTTTCAGTATATATTTATATACTTGATATTTTCCCAAAAAAATGCGTTTAAATGGAAGTATGCTTTGAAATGCCATGCATATAAATTTACATTTTGTATATGAAATAGTGTATGATGCATATATATAATTGTGGTGAAGTGGACGCTCAGGTAAGCCAGGTGAGTTTATGAATTGTAAATGTGAATAACGGTTGTGATTATTTGAGAAGTATAGAGCTCATAAACCTGCACCTCGGGTGATTGTGATTTAGCCAGAGATAAGGTACATGCATGTTTACCTCCCGCACCCTATGCTCACATTGGATCCAATTCAGGTGCACAGTCTTGTCGTACAGACCATCATAGATGGTTCCGACTCGTAGGTGACTAGCAATTTATCGCCCAACTATTATGAGAGTTTAGTATTGAGCATAATTATATTACACCCAATCTTGTCGTACAGACATTTTTAGTGGTTCCAACTTGTGTGCAGTGTAGTGCCGTATAGGTCATTTGTAGTGACTTCGGCTAGATTGACTAATGAGCTATGAATTCAGCTGTACAAACTTCTGCATGGGTTTCGACTAATATGTTATTTTCTTTCCATGAATTTATTATCACCTGAGCTACTTATTCTACTTTTTGTTATGTTTGGCATGGCATACTTATGATTATGAATATGTGTAGCATGATTTGAATTCATATATATAAATATAGGTATATGTTTATTCTATTTCTGGGAAAAAGAATACATGTTTTACGGCGAGGGTTAGAGCATGAAAGTTAAATGTGTTTTCAAAACCTTTGTTTTTGCCCACTCACGTTTTTTGTTTTGCGCCCCTCCAAGTTTTAAGTTGGCTTGCTGTTGGTGGCATTTGAGGATTTCAGTAGTTCTGACAAATTATATATTTAGTAGGACATCTTCTGGTACTGTATAATTAGTACTTGTCCCACTGGACTGCACCTAGACTTTCTATGCTCTAATTAGGAGTATTTACACTTGTATCTTACTCCCAGCACTTCCTGTTTATTAGTGCACATTTGTAGCTTTCGGTTTTTATTTATTCGTATATCTCTTATCTTGATGGCTTTTGCACTGTGCACATGATTACGTCACCCTCACATGACAGCCAGCACGCCTCGATCTCGGTCGGGGTGTGTCATGAAGAGTTTGATGTGTGGTTAATTAGTTGATGATTGTGGGGTGTGTGAGATGTAAGGTGTGGGGTGTGAGGCTAGTATTGGAAAATACGTAGGGTGTGTTAATAAAAAAATTAATTTAAAAAGTAAATGTGGATGTATTAAGTATGTAAGGTATAGTCAACAAAACATGGAGTGTTAATAAACAAACCATTTTTTTTTTCCAGCTAGCCACATGATTTTTGGATCTATAAAAGAATATTAAAAGTATAAAAGTTTTTTGAGTTTATTGGTATTTATAAAATAATACTAAAAAGTATAAAAAAAATCTTTTTTTTTTTTTTTGCTTATCTTTTAGTCTTTTAAGATTTATAAAATAATATAAATTACATATTAATGAAACTTTTCGTTAACTAAAAAAGAGTGAAAAGACATTTTTTTGTCTTCTATCCAAAATAAAATTATGAAATAAATAATTTTACACAAACTAAATTTTACAGTTTTTTTTAAAAGCATAATCTACATATGATCCTAACAAATCTCTAATTAAAAAATAAATAAAAACAAAAACTCATCCCCCATTTTCACATTCTCTCTTTCTCCCCCTTTCTTTTTTTAAAAACAAAAATAAAAAAACGTTCACACACACAAAATATGTGAGCATATGCTAGTATTAAAAATAAGGAAAAATTAGTATTCGGTCCTTAGTTACTAATGTTCTTTGATTAAAATCTTATTAGTTTTCAGATTTTGATCAAGGTCCCTAACATTAATGTAATAATGAATTTATGACAGTTACATAATTTTTAAAATAAAAATTAATAATTGATTTAGGATTTTAATTGTAACATCCCACATCGCCCAGGGAATTGGATCATGTAAGCCTTATATGTATATTCTCATTTCTACCTAGCACGAGACCTTTTGGGAGCTCACTGGCTTCGGATTCTGTAGAAACTTCGAAGTTAAGCGAGTTCGCACGAGAGCAATCCTAGGATGGGTGGCCCATTGGGAAGTTCTCGTGTGAGTTCCCAGAAACAAAATCGTGAGGGCATGGTCGGGGCCTAAAGCGGACAACATCGTGTTACGGCAGAGTCGAGCCCAGGATGTGGTGGGGGCCTGGGTCAGGATGTGACATTAATACTCACATCTTTATTAAACTCCTAACTAATTTTCAATTCAAAACATTTCCAAAAATATATATATATATATTAGAATAAGTTTGTACCCCTTAATTTTTTATAAAAAGGTTTTCAATTTTTTAATCTTATATGTATCCATTCATGTAATTTTTCAATTTTTCAATTTTGTCAATCTTAAAATGTACCCATTCTTCAATATACCAATTTGTTGTAGTAAAATGTACCCTTTTTTTACATAAAATATATTCAATTTTTTTCTATTCCATTTTTAAACTTATATTGGTACATTCTTTTTCTTGATTTGAGAATGTATCCATGTCAATTTTAATAAAAAAAAATTACTAATGTTATTAAGCCTAATATCTATTATTTTTTGTGTGGTTTTGAAGAATGTACCCATATTTTGGTACAATAATTTGTTTTTTCTTAATTTTGTTGAATGTACTCATGTTTTTATACATACATGTATATTGGAGAGTATAATTTATATTTTAATAATTTTAATCCACAAATTATGGGTTTTTTTATTTAAAATCTCATTAATACAAACAACTATAAATTTAAATTTTTAATTTTAAAAATATAGTAACCTACATAGAAATACATTATCACATTAATTTTAGGGACTTCGAAAAAAAAAATTGAAAACCAATAAGGCTTTAGTCAAAGAATATTGATAGTTAGGAACTGCATCCAAAGTGTCCTTAAAAATAAAAACCAAATGAAAAGGAATATGCTAGATAACAACTATTAGTCAGAAGTGTGACAGTTTAGAGAAAATATATCAGCCAAAATTTTGTCTTCTTCTTCATCTTCTTCCACTGCAACTAAAAACCCAGATTTCAATTTTTATTTATTTATTTTTCAGATTTTGGCAACTTTTAGATAAAAATTATGACCTATCAAATGCCCTGAGGCGCACCTTAGTCACGCAGGTGCGCCTCAATGAAGCCTAATTACTCCCACAAAACAAAGACGATTTTATTGTCGTCTCCAAAACCACCTAGGCGTGCTTTGGGGCAAGTTTTTTAAAACACTAATTAAAACTAAATGAGAAGAAAAATGACCATTTTAGTAGACAAAGTTGGACGAAACTGATTTTAAAGAATAAAATAGAATTTCACTTCTATAATGGCATGTGATTTATCATCCGGTGTTTCAGATACATTGACAAATCTCTGCAATACTAAGTAGTATTAAATAGGGGCGGATTTTTTTGCTAAATTGCCGTGCCAACCGAATTGTCAACCGTGCCATACCGATTTTGTGCCAATCAGTAATGATACGGTATTGTACCGTACCGAAATTTCATGGTATGGTACTGGTAATGGATACCATTACTATGGTATTACCGTGCCGTATCAAAAATAAAATATATAATTATATAAAACATATTTAATATATATATATATATATTTATTTATTTATTTATTTATAATATTTCAATAATTTGAAAATAAAACCCCACTTATATTAGCATTGTTGTTGGTGACTTTGACCTCTTGAGTTGGTGGAAATCAAATATAAAAGAGTTCTCAATTCTTTCACAAATAGCCAATGATATCTTTGCAACCCCCACTTCTACCGTTGCTAATGAAAATGCATTTAGCATAGGGAGGAGGGTTGTGGACTCTTTTAAGGCATCATTGACTCCTAAAATGGTAAAAGCACTAGTGTGTACTACTGATTGGCTTAGGGCGGATGAAGTAAACTTCTATAAGGAATCAACGGAAAATATGCTTCAATTTTACAAGAAAATGGAAGAAGTTGAAACAAGTAAGATATGCTTTAATTTTTAAATGGTTTTCAACTTTAATTCTTCTTGCTACTAATATGTTTTCTTTGTTTGTAATGTTGGCTTGACACAAGCTCAATCTTCTACAAATTCAATTATTCAATGCCTCCTCCAAAAGCTTCGACATCTCAAACTTGAAGAATTGATCAATGAATTTTACTTTTTGAAGTTTAGTTCTAATTTTCATTTGGTTTGAAACTTTAACTTCTATTTTGATTGTTAACTTCTATTTGTTTTGGTTCGTAATTCTATTTGGATTGTAAGCTTAATTTTCATCATGAATCTTGATGTATCATTTGATTCCAATTAACTCCAACAAGAGAAATTGGGTTTGAATCATATGCAATATATGACCAACTTTCTTATCAGTAGAACGATAATGTTAGTGGGCTAAATAGTTAATTGTTAGAGAAAAAACAAATAGATGTAGATCGTACCCGCATGAAGAGACATAAGCACAACTTTTTTCAATTATTGTGCGCCATTTACAAATGATAAATATATATATATATATATATATATATATAATAACAAATAGTTAGAAATAATAATTAAATAAATTCCACAACCAAAAACTAATCTCTGAATAAACTCCAAGGGAAAGGAAATGAAATTGAAATATGCTAAAACCAAAAACCCAGTGAGCGGAAGACCTGCTAGGGTTTTTTGGGACCATTTCCAGTTCAAAATTTGAAATTGATCATCTAATATTGACTGAAACGATGGTATTGCTTTCCAAATTGAAAGTCGTTACCCTCAGATTGTGTTATTCTCCATCTTCCTGCATAGTTGCTTCCACATTTAAACGATTTGTCGTTGGAGATGTAAAACCCTCACATTTTCCTCTTCAAAATCTGCTACTCTGCAGACACTTCACCTCAGAAATCTCAGAAACCCACCACGATTTCACAGTCAATTACCTCATAAACTCATGTGGGCTGTCCCCAGAAGGTGCGATTTCAGCGTCTAAGTGGGTCAAGTTGCGATCCCCCAAAAGAGCAGACTCCGTTTTGTCCTTTCTCAGAAACCATGGATTCTCTGAGACCCAGATCTCCAGTATCGTCAGGAATCACTCTCCAGTTCTTAACTCCAATCCGGAGAAAACCCTTTTGCCAAAGCTTGAGTTTTTCGCTTCTCTTGGAGTTTCAAAGGGGGACCTTGCAAAAACTCTGGCATATAGACCGAAGCTTTTGTCTACGAGCTTGGAGAAACGGATTGCACCCACTTATGATTTCCTTAGGAGTCTGCTTTCTCAGAAAAATGTCGTTTCCGTTTTAAAGCGCGGCCCCTGGATTTTCGCTGAAGGCCACTCCAAGAAGGTGGAGCCAAATATTGAGGTTTTGAAAAAATCAGGTATACCCCAATCGTGCATTTCTCTGTTGCTTACTTATCATCCCAACGCTTTAAAGCTAAAGCCTAAAGATCTTGGTCAACTTGTGGATGAGCTTAATGGAATGGGTTTTGATCTGCAAAAATCAACTTCAGTGTTAGCAATGAACGTATTGTGTGGTAGCAATAGGTCTGTATGGAATCGAAGTTGCAAAATTTATAAGAGGTGGGGGTGGTCTGAGGATGATGTTCTCGCTGCTTTCAGGAGTCAGCCTCATTGTATGATTGTCTCGGAGAAGAAATTAATACGAGCACTGGAATTTTTAGTGAACGAGATGGGGTGGTCTTCAAAAATGATTGCAAAAAGCCCGCTGGTCCTCTGTTTAAGTTTGGAGAAGAGATTGGTTCCAAGGTGTTCAGTTGTTAAAGTTTTATTGTTGAAAGGATTGATAAAGGGGATTGAAAATGTGAGTTTGTATTCTTTGTTGGTGCCTGCGGAGAAGTATTTCTTGGAGAGGTTTGTGGCCAGAAATATAAATGAAGTACCTCAGTTATTGAGTGTGTATCAAGGAAGAGTTGAAGTCCAGGATGTATGATGGTGGTAGGTCAAAAGAGTTGAAGTCCAGGATGTCTGATGGTGGTAGTATCGTAGATGCAGTGCTGTTCATTTCCATTGGTAGGAGCTAACTTTTGGCTCAGCATTGTAAGTTTGTGAACTCAAGTACTGTTTTATATTTTTCTAGAAATGAATTCATTTGTTAATTATTTGTTTGTCTTAGCGTTCCACTGTCTAGCTACTTTAGTTATATATTTACTTTCTTATTTGGAATTAACTTAGTGGGAAAAGGCTTTGTAGTTGTTATTGTATTTGAAATTAACTTGAGATTTGACCTGATTGTGGTGCTTTCAACTTCAGATTGGTGTTCTTGACTTTGTTCTTATGGGAACTGCATTTGATAGATTATACACATATGTTGCTTTATTGGGGTTCAATCTAATCTATTGTGGCAATGAAGGAATGAAAAAACCTGCCACTACGTGAAATATGCGTGTGTGTGTGTGGGTGTGTACGTTCTTTGTACTTTGGAGGAAAATAAGTGGAATGTGGAAGAGTTAGATTTCATTGGTAGCATCTAGCTTTTCGCTCAGTATTGTAACTGCTGTATTATTTGTACCCAAAATGCAGCACTGCTCATTGCTAGTACCTCCTTTAGTTATGTACACTAATCTCCCTTGGGCATGTTGTTTGCATAACCATGCGAAGAGCTAGTGAGGGCCAGGATGCAAGATCATATCTAGTGCAGTATTGGATCCGAAGCTGAGCAAACTGTGCGAAAACTACCGCTTTGTTTTTCGGTTTAATGTGAAGTCTAAGGAAGAGAAATCCTAAGCAGAAAGCCGGTGAAGTAAGGTTATGAAAGGTAGTTTGTTCGTTCGTCCGAAAAAGAAAGATTGAAACAGCCAAGAACAGCGAAAACCTTTCAAGCGGCAAGTTCTAACCTTATTGCAGGAAATGCATATCTTGTTAACTTATCTGAAAACAACTTGATGATGACAGGCGCTGCTCTCTGTGGTTGTGGTGCCTTCAACTGTAGATGGTTCTTGAGTTTGTTCGTCTGGGAACTGCCTTCGGTAGATTGTACACATTATAATCTTATTCTGGAGATGAAAAATACAAAGTAACTTGTCTGAATTTTCACATTAAAAGTTGTGTTGGATATCATTGATTGTCTGTGAGTTCTCTGTGTTATGCTGTGCTAGTGTCTATGATATTCCTCCACAAGCAGTTATCCTTGTTTTTGGTGGCAATGGCTGGGTAAAGTATCACTGTATCATTGTGCTTCCCTTGCGTTTGTAAGAATTTATGCAACGCTTGCGTTATTAAAAAAAGGAAAATGCAGTTCTTGTCGCTGATTTTTGCGTTTTTCAGGGGACAAAAAGATCAGGCTTTGATAAGATATGTAATGCAGAGTAATTGCCTGTCAGTAATTGCCTCCGGAAGCTAGCCTTTTCTCAGTGGCCATGGCCTAGGTAAGTATCATTGTGCCCTTGTGCTGTATTTTCAGCACTTCTTATCAAATTATAGGTCTGTATGAATGTGTCCGAGAAGAAACTAAGGATAACGCTGGAATTTTTAGTGCAAAGGATGGGATGGCCGTCGGAAATGATTGCCAGATCACCAGTGGTCATGTGTTACAGTTTCGAGATGAGATTTAGGGGTGGTTTGAGAGTGAGGTGATTAAAAAAAAAGCACCCATGAAAAAAAGTTGTGAGGGTTTTAGGCGTTTGGTAAACTGAAAAAAAAAGGCTTATTTTGGAAGCTGCTGTGAGAATAAGCTGAAATCAAAGGAAAAAGTTGAAGCTGCTATTTGTAGCTTTGGAAAACTGGCTTTTTTTCAAAGCACACGGAGTTACAGTGCTTCTTTAATGAAAAGACCCACTATCAGACTGTTTTTTTTTCCAAAAGCACTTTTACAAAAAAGTTTACCAAACACTCTCCTGATTTATTTCACAGCCGCTTATTCTCACAGCACAGCCGCTTATTCTCACAACAACTTTTTTTCAAAGCACAGCAATACCAAACTAGCCCTTATACCCCGCTGTTCAGTTGTTGAAAGGATTGATAAATTGGATTCAATCTGTGAGTTTGTGTTCTGTGTTGGTGCTTGTGGAGAAGTTGTTCTTGGAGAGGTTTGTGGCAAGATATATATACGAAGTACCTCAGTTATCGAGTGTGTATCACGGAAGAGTTGAAGTCCAGGATGTATGATGTTCGTAGCTCAAAAGAGGTTTGATGTTCATTATAATTTGGGACGCCTTGATGTAGTACCGTAGATGCAGTGCTGTTTATTTCCATTGGTAGCAGCTAACTTTTGGTTCAGCATTGTAAGTTTGTGTCCTTAGCTAGTGTTTTATATTTCTCTAGCTACTTGAGTTGTATATCAACTCAAGATTGATTGTTTTCGTCTGGGAGCTGGCTTTTGGAATTGATATCTCAATCTGTGTGGATAAATGAATCCAATTTCTGTCTGCAATTATCCGATACTAAATCGTATGTGATCGAATCTGAAGCCGATCATTGTGCTTTCATGGTGTAAATTGGAGGAAGGGTGGTGGGAGGGAGGGACATTGGTAGGTTTAAACACGTAGTTAGTGTACGTTTGATAACCATTTGGTTTTATGTTTTTAGTTTTCATCTTTTTGTGCTTTAGATATGGAGGAAGTATAAAGGAGAAGACGGGGAAAACAAGGGTGGTGAGGGAGGAATAGAAATAAGAAGAGTGAATGAAAACAAAATCTTGAAAATAAAAACTTATAATAATTTTTGTTTTTAACTTTCTCCGTGAGGATGTCATAATCGTCAATTTGTTTGACGTTCTTGAATGGTTAAATGGTATTCAAGTCGAATGAATTTTTCTAGAGATTATCTTTAGACAATGACAAAGAACATAGAGTTACGATTATGACGGTTGTATGGTGAAATAACGTCACGTTTAGGTGAAAATGAAGACTTTCCTCCTCCGCGAGAACAATTGATACTCCACCAATCAAGACTTTCTTGTACAATCGTATTGCTAAGAAAATGCAAAAATTGAACATTTCCTGAGGAGTAAAGTGTGTTACTTTTGTTTGTTCCCTTAGAGATGGAGGCGTGGATGCTCGGCGGAGCCTGTTCAAATATATGAATACGCATATGTTTATATGTTTATTTCTGAGCTTTGGATATCTAAACTAATTGAAATATATGTGATGAACTGTATTCTGGAATCATGTTCGTCAAAGATTGGTGTAATTGCAAGACCACTCCTCTTTCATCATCCATTTACTTTGATTCTAAAGCTCTAGAAATCTTCATTGTATTATGTAAATCTCTTGTACATTGTGAAATACAAATACATAGCCTCATAGATCCCATGTCAAACCTTAACTCAGAGAAGCCATGAGAGAACTTGTAGAGAGAGAATGACAAATGAATTTCAATACTATTTTCATAACAACCTTTCTGTTACTTACAAACCAAGCTATATAGCGACTTTTCTAATTACTTTTATCCAATTACAACTACTAGTAACAACCTTATTACAAGTATTACAGCTCAATCATTCATATGATGACATTTGGCACAATCACAATTGCTATATAACAACCCTTAACTATTAAGATACCTATCAGATTCCTATCATCTACTCCTCCCTTTGAAATTAGCCTTGTCCTCGAGGCTGAAAATCAGGAAATTTCAACCGTAGGGTATCCAGATTTCCCAAGATGCATTTGTAGAATGATGATTTTTCCAATGCACCAACACTTTTGTAACTGAAGTTGGCCTGTTCTGAATCACTCTTCGGTCCAAAATAGCTGATGGTTCTGGTTCATCTTGAATTAAGCCAACATCTTGAACTATTGGTAAGGGAATAGTAGTAGTGACTGCAGTCCCCAACTTCTTTTTGAGACATGAAACATGAAAAACTAGATGGATCGTGGAGTGACTTGGTAGCTTCAATTTGTATGCCACAAGTCCAACTCGAGCAAGAATCTCAAAGGGACCATAGAATTGAGGATGTAATTTATGGAAAGGATGCAAAGCTAATGACTTATGTTGGTAGGGAACCAATATGAGATAAACAAAATCACCAACTGTAAATGATCTCTCAGTTCTATGCTTGTTTGCTTGAGTTGTGAAATCTCGTTCCTGGATTTCACTATTATAATCTACGTAATTGTATTATTGAGATTTTTATTTTTTTGGGAATTTATATTAATTTATTTGAATCTATATTTTGATTAAACTAGTTACAAAGAGTGAAGTTTTGAAACTAATTATTTAAAATATGTAGATCGTTCGATGTCACAATTTATATTTTCGAATAGAGCTCGATCTCACGAACGCGTGGGCACAAACTATTCGTGAAACGGAGCTATAACGAATGAGTTATTAACGTTTAAAGTTAAATGATATTTCGGTAATTTTTCCTCAATCAAGAAGGCTCCAGATTTTTTTTGAGCACTGAGATAATGCCATGTGCGTGGTTGAGATAAAAAGAAAAGAAGAGAAGGGAGGAGATGGACGGAGACGATGGGGGGGGGGGGGGGAAAGGATAGGAACGTTCTTTCATTCCGTTCTCTGCGAGGGAAAAAGAAGAAATGGGGAGGAAGTAGCTCTTCCATAGCTTTTGGAAGAAATTCTTCTTTCTTCAGACAAAAATCGAAGAGAGGTGAGGAAATCTTGTGATCGAATTGAGTAGGATTATAGTAACTATAAAAGGGGTTGAAGGGGCTGCAGAGAAGGGGCAAAACATCATAAAAGAAAAAGGGCAGAGAAATTGATAGTTAGAGAACGTGATTGTGAAGGAAGGATTCAGAGATTTGAAGGGTAAATTCCTTGTTCCTTGATTATCTTGATTATCTTGATTTTGAATTTAATTTCCTTAAGTTGAATTGAAACTGCCATGATGTATATTGGAGTTCTTAGTTTTATTTAGGGTTTTCTATCATTCAATGAACCAATCTGAACATGAATTAGAGTTGGGTAATTCGGATTGGATGTGTAGACCAAATTTCTTGATCAAGGGTCTAGTTCAAAAGGTCAATTTCTTGTTAATTTTGAGTCATGTTAGTTTCGGATGTTGTATACATGACTTCTGGACTACCTGGAATTATTTTGGATTTGTTATATGAATTGGAGGTGGGTTGTTACCTAAGCTGCAGAAAATTGATTTCTTTGCAAAGAAAACTCAAGTTTCGAGTAGCCTTCTTTGGCTCTTAATTTCTAGGTCTATATGTGCTCCTTTGGAAAAAAATAGTGTGTTGAAAGTAAATATGTTCATGATCGTAACCTAATTGTTTTCACTCAATTCCGTTGAGTTTTGGTTGATCAAAACCTTATTTAAACTTGGGTCGCGAGCTGCCAACAGCAATAGAAAACTGGGTTTCCAGTTTCAAGACTTCATTTTTCTTTTTGGCATAACTTCCAATTAGAGCTCCGTTTACTACAAACTTCATATGTTTTTAAAGTAAAGAGCACAAGCTTCAAAATCCATATAATATTACACGATTTGGTTTAGTTTTGAATGTTCCAAATGGAGTCTAAACTTGGTCTAATAGTGCTCTTTTTCTGCAGATTTTGTGAAGAAGCAGAGTACTGTTTTGCCATACCTATCTTCTTTTCCAGATTCCTTTCTAATCTTCTTTACTACTATTTGAGTGATATTATTTGAGTGGCAAGATTACAGAATCAGTATTACTAGAGACTATGTAAGGCTTAGTGGTTCTATATTGGCTAGTGAGTTATCCCAATAATATATACATCGGTTTATGTGTATGGAACGTCATGTTGTGATATATATGTGCTTATTTATCTTCTTAATAATGTGAATGATAAGTATGATAAATGTTATGACAATGTGATCCTAGAATCTTATTGGTTGTATTATGTAGAACTTATATGCTTGTGTGACATATTAGTTGGTGGCCATGAGAAGTTGATGGTGTAGGTGACTACGTTGAAACTCATAGGGGTTGAGTTGTGGGTAGGTGGTGTGTTGAATTTATTGCACCATGTACCAATGGTACATGGATGGTCCTGCTTGGTATATCTGCAATGGGGGACCATACGTACTTCAGGGGTGATCATGCTTGGTATATCGGCGATGGGTGATCACCGCCTGCACGATTCGACTATGCTTATGGTCCTGCTTGGTATATCCACGATGGGGGACCATACGCATTCTAGGAGTGATCATGCTTGGTATATCCGCGATGGGTGATCACTACCTAGAGCTACAGAATACAGTCTTGCTTGGTATATCCACGATGGGGGACTGTTAGGGGTAATCATGCTTGGTAT